TGACTGTTGCCGGCACCTCTGACACGATGTGAAGGCCTTGTGTGGCAATGCATCCCAAAATGACCTGTAGACATGTGCTGGGAGGATAACACAACCAGTGTGAGAAAGCACCTCAGTAAGGCAGCCTCTGTGCAGGTGTTATGAAAGCTATCAATCTGACATGGCTGGTGCCATTGAAATGGGAAAGCAAGTCCCAGAGATAAATCTGCGGCTGAACTAATATTTATGCACTTTGAATCAGGCTCAATTCCTATTAGCAACTGCTCTGATATCAGGCAAAGGCTTCTGCACCTCAAAACCTGAGCAAAAGCACCTCTAATGGGGTGGGCTATCTGTTATAGTCCCATTCCACAGCTGCAGCTGATGCCCCCAACAGAGGGGATACATAATGTGAGAAATGAGTGAGCAAGGGAGCTGTATGGGGAGAACAAGAAGGAGGAATGGCATCATGGCCCCAGGATATACCCGATGGCTCTGAAAGATTTAACTATGGTCTTGATTAAAGCTGCTCTCAGGGATGATCATTGTCACAAATATAAAGCCTCTTGCTAGACTTAGCCTGGATTCAGAAATTTTGATAGACAAAATAACAGGCCTCTTTCTTCTACAAGCAAAGGAAAATGTACACATTCGTCAGACAAGTTTTCTGGCTTATATTTCACCCAAGAAGAGTCTTGCTTCATTGACTAAAGCTCGTTTTAATCTTAAAGCAAATTAGCAAAACATGAGTATGTGCTCGAGAAGTCAAGCACTTCCATGCTCCAAAAGCAGCAGCCTTGTGGAATAGCAGTGCATGCAATGGTTGTAGTCAAGCCAAAGAAATGCTTTTGACTTTGATTTGTTCTGTAACCTTAAGTAAGTCACCAGCATCTTTAATTTTTCTATTCTAAAAGAACTGGTGTTATGAGACTAGTCTCTCTCATGGCATTCTTATGTAATGTAGTTAGCAATGCCCATTGCAAAAGTAGCCCTTGCCCAAAGCTTCTATGCAGGGGTTCGGGAGGTATTATTAGTTTGCTTTTTATCCAAAATGCCTCAGATGTCTGTGGAATGTCACTAAACAGTGGATTTTTTGTAAATCACCTTGCTGAGGATTGTCACTAAAAGGATTTTTGTTTAATGGACAAACAGGACATGAAATGAAACACCTGTATGTTAAGCAACCTTGAGATGCTGAGTAAAAGAAAACTATAGAACGTGCAGCTGAAGTGAAGTTCAAGGATCAGTCAGCTATCTGTCTAATCTAGTAACTATTTTTAAGACTTTCACAGATGGAGCTTTCACTGACTCAATCTATCTATCTATATATATACATACATAATGTATATGTATATAGTATAACTTAAGATGATGAACCAGAACTCTGTGCTGTGGTTTTGGTTCACTGATTTTTGGTCAGTCTGCAGTGGATCTGAAGAAGAGACTATTCTTTCTTTTTACACCATTCTTTTTGTGTCTTCAAGTTCATATTTTCCTGCAGTCTGCTTTTTGCTAGATTAAGCAGCTTAATTCAGTCAGTTAATTCAGTCTCCTGGATATATCCTCTAGACTGCTGTCAACTTATTGCTCTGTGTCTCTTGAAGCACTGAGCCCAGGAGTGGGTGTAGTAGAGTGGCTGAATACAGTGGAAGGATTAGAGACAGCTGTCAATCTGTCTCATGAGGGTGGTTGTCACTCCCATGGTAGGGTGACATTATTAAATCAGGTTCCACTTGTGGGGCATTATGCGTGCTGCATGCAGGGGGCATGTTTGGAAGACTCATCCAACTCTATACGATTACACCCACTGCTCTGTAGAGTCCTGCACTTGTCCTTTGTTGAACAGTACTTTGGGGTTTTTTTCAGTGCATGTTTCCAATTCATCAAGATAATTTTGAATTCTAATCATAGCCTCTGTGAAGGCCTTTATCACAGTGGGTAACCCTTTAATAGCTACAGAAGTTTTCATCATGCTAACACAAACTGAGAGAGGCTGCAGTGATTTAAGTGGCCTGTTATTATAACTCCTTAATCCCTAAGAATGAGCTCTTTTTCTTTTCTCTCTAAATGGCAACGACCACAAATATATTAATAAAACTTTGGCTTTGTTCTTTTATCTATGGCCTTTAAAACTTACCTTTCCTATATTCAGCTTTTGCATCTTTTCAGTTACCTTTGTAATCTGATTTAATTGTATATTTCCATAGAGGCTTAGCCTAAAATTGCTTAACTGTACAGCACTGCTTTTTAACTTGGCAGGAGGGGATTTATACTGGCTGTATATGCTGTGCCCCTATGTTAGGGAAACACCCCTCTAACACAGTCTCTGTTGCTCCAAAGCTATTTCTTCTGTGGGAATCATAAGAAGTTTTGAGTGTCAGATCCTTGATCTGTTTGTACCTGTATCAGTATAATATAGGACTACAGAGTTTCTTCAAGAAAACACTCTCCTGATTTTACACCAGAGACAATGAGAACAAGTTCTGCTCCTCAGTTGTCTTCATGTGTTAAAGACTTTTTCTGAAATGGAAAGGACAAACTGAACCCTGAGGAAAGGCCACTGATTTCAAGGATAAAAGTGATGTGAAATCATATGTTTTTTAACTGCCTTCTAAAAAGACACTTCCTTCCAACTCCTGTACAAAGCAAAGCATCCCCATAAAAATAGCTCCACATGTCTCTGCCACATATTTGATAGGTAAATTGTTTCCAATAAATTCAAGAGATTTGCAGACACTCAAAAAAGGTGGAGGTTTGGGGTTTTTTTGTCTAAAGGCTAAGTATTCAGCCCATACAAGTTGTCTTATCTAGGTCATTCTATAATCAGTGGAAACAGGCCATCCTAAGGTAAGTAACTCATCTCTGAGACGCTGCTATTATCTAGACTACGGGATGACAACTTAGAGCAGTTCTCTTTCTTTAGAGCTTTGCAGTTAGGTGACATGACCCAAACGGCAGATTATGCTGGGAAGTTGTCATGCTGGGAAAAGTGAAACAATCTAAACACAGCCTTCATTGCATGCTTAAACTAATCTCTGGGTTTAGGCACAGAGCACAGCCTCGAAATGCTCATACACGAGGTTTTGCCTTCCCTGCACACCCACATAACCCACAGGGTAGTGTGGCTACCTACCTTGAACAAAGCTGAGGCTGGTTCCCACAGGTGGCTTCCCATCAGAGAAGGGACCATGGCTGCTGGCCAGGACACTGAGAAGAGCTAAGGCGGCACTAAAGCCCATGGTAGAGCAAGAAATTCCTTGCTCCTCTTCCTCCTTTCCCTCCATTTCACCTTCCCTTCCTGCACTCACAGCTGAGCCATTTTCTCTTTGAAGGCAGCAGGAGCCCTTTTTTATGCTCACACATGAGAAAATCATGGGTTAGTGGCTGCCAAATGCTTTTAATGAGTGCTCTCCCTGGTTTCTGCTCCATCATCAGCCCAGTCAGGTAGGCATAGGTCTCACCAACAGCCTCATAATGATGCCCTGGGGTCATTTCTGTAAGGCCAGCAGTGGGGATCCCTCTTTAACTGCAGCCTTTGCCCATCTTCCCCATTTTTCACTAGCTACCACATTATGGGTTTGGTGTCAGGAACTGGAAGATCCCAAACTGCATTGACATAATCCAAAACTCATCCCAGTTTCTAGGATGTGACTCCAGGCAACTAATACACCTGAAGCATTGGAAAGCCACAAGAAGGTAGAACAGGGGGCTGAAGGCTCTGCTATATTTCTCTTATGCTGGGGTCTGATCGGGAGCAGCTGGCTCTGAGAGAAGGGTCCCTTATGGAAATTGAGTTTTAACTTTATCAGTTCTGCTGAGACAGATAAGCATTTTTCCTCTCTTCAACTCTAGTAATAATGAATATAGTATTGCTGTTGGATACATTAGGATTTTTATTTCCTCCTGAGTTTTTCTGCTTTACATCCTTCAAACCTGTTCCTGTGAAAAATACACTCTTCTCTACTTGTCTTCACAGAAGAACAGTAGAATCACATTCCATGATGCTACATAGAGCTTTACATCCTTCAAACCTGTTACTGTGGAAAATACACTCTCTCTACTTGTCTTCACAGAAGAACAGTGGAATCACATTCCATGATGCTACATACAGCTTTACAAGGGACAGGGTTTTATAAGTGAGAATTTTACAGAAATGAAGAATATTTTATCCAGGCTGACACTATGTTCACCAGGCTCAGAGCTGGCTGGTTGCTATGGAGCAAACATAAACTTCACACTAGCATGGAGGGGGAAACCTGCAGGGTGGCCACTGGAAAGTGATTATCCTGCATCCAGCAAGGGTTTTGTTAGGCCAAAAGTAGGGAGATCTGGCATATGTTCACAACACAAGTAAATGCAGATATATACACCCCTGATCTTGCAGCCTAAGGATCCTGACTCTTTGAGAGCACAAATAGCTTTTCTAATTCCTTTCTTTTCATTGTAGGCAGTACCACTAGGGGACGTTTTGTCATCACGTATCACTCTCTATACGATTTTCCTTACAGTGGGTCATGCTTGCTTTTCAGTCTTGGTGCATATCTAGATCATGGAGTGAATGTTTGAATTTCATAGGGCTTGTGAATGACCCGGACTCACTGGAGCTGGGAAAGAAAGAAGTATTTATTTCCCTCATTTCTCCAAAGGAGCCCATCTATCAATATTCCTTACAGAGTGAGGAAGCTGGTTATTTCACAGCTTGCTGGAGCACCATAAGAAAACAAGGCTGCCTCTCACTTTAATGTTATGTGCCAAGCACAGATACTGCTAGTGGGTTTGTGAAGATAGAAGTAATATATAACCACTGCAGTCAAAGTGGAATGAATATCACCAGCAGTGAAGCATGTTAAGTATTTGCTGAAAGAACGAGGATATCTTTTAAACTAAATAATTGAAATCTATTGTCAAAACTCACATTTCACTCCTCTTTTCCATTCTCATCTCATTTGTCCTAGGATAACTGACTGGCTGAACCCAAGTCACCTACCAATACACTTTTCTTTCCCTTCTCTTCAATGCAGACAGAGCAGCTGGTGACTCTGTGGATTCTCTTTATTGTCACTATTGCTGGGAATGCCATTGTGCTCTTCTCTACCTGGAGGAGGAAGCGGAAATCTCGAATGACCTTCTTTGTTACACAGTTGGCAATCACAGGTAGTGTATGGAAGAGATCACTATTAAAATGACAAATAAGAAAATGCAAGTTGAATGGTGAAGAATTCAGTTGCCACCTAATGTCCAGTTGCAGGCTGCCATAAGACAGATGGATGGCTGCTTACCTCAGGGCTCATTCTGCCTCCCATCTGAAAAGATGTTGCTAATTGTAGTAGGGTCTGCATCAGATGCAGCAGCTACAACTCATTGATTTCACTGAATCTTATCTTCCAGTCTGAACATTCATCCACATTTCCCCAGTTGTTGTCATGGAACTGTTTAAATTAAACTGTTTTAAAGTTATTATCTTGTGTTTTTCTACTAAGCCCCTTTCTAAAGTACTTCATAAGGGTATTTATTGCTCCATCAATTATGTTCTTGCATTGGCAAGTGAAAATTACTTCATCTTGTCTGGTTTAACCAAGTTAGGGAAATATAACAAAATGTAAAGGTGGAAAGGAATGCATTTAGCTTTTTTTTCTGAAAGGGGGAAGGATGCTGGTCCAAGAACTTTGCAGTTTTTAAATGAAATGTAAAAATGCACAGAAACCAGGTTTGTAGAACTTCAATCTCAGCAACTAGGAAAGGAAAAAAAGAGCATAAGCAGCACATTGTTTCTCTGTGGCCTTGAATGGGCTAAATCTGTGGGGATTTAAGTTTCCCAAGGGAAAATATGTGCTGTTTCTGTAATGGCGTCCTGCTACTAATCCCAGCTTACAAGAGAGCTGAGTTGTAATTTTTTTGTGTGTAAGATATATTCATATGCTTTCTGTTGATTTTTTTTTTTTTGTGAGCTATGTAGGAATTACAGCACTTTTCCACTACTTAATATGTGATTTCCCATACTCCTTTGATGTCTGTTGCGTATCTATCTGTTTAAACTGGAAAACAAAGGACTGCACACCCCCACTGTCAACATGCATTCTTTGCAGGTAAATGAACTCCTGTTCATAGTCTCAGCCATGTCTGCTCAGGAGCTTATCCTGTTTTTCAACACTACTCTCAGTTGAAACAGTTAGAACAAGTTGTGCAAAGTGATGGAAAGGAACTGTCTCATAACTACAGGTGATGTAAGAATTGTTGCAAGGTGAGGAAGTGAAGGTTTGCAGTGACTCTTCTTCTGAAGTGCTGGCAGCTGGTTTTCCTATTTGTCTGTAAGTCACTTGTAATTCACTTTTTATCTCGATTGTGACTATCATGTCACTCCTTTCACGTACCAGTGATATTGTCCATCATGTAAGGTGTGTTGATACAGCCTCACAACACAGTTTGGAAGCACCAATCACAGATCAAGCATTACAGTGTTCACAGGAGTCTGAAAATAGACAGTCCCTGCTCAAAGAGCTCCCAGTCCTAGACTGGGATACAGAGGATGATAAAAGGTAGGCAACAAAGCAGTAGTACAGGGAAAGAGCAGAAGAACAACTGAAGCCACAGGTGGACACTATCCACTTTCTGTCTATCAGCAGCAGCAAGCAGAATACTGGGGGCAACTGTCATAAGAAGGGCTTTGGAAGAGAGAATGGTGGAAAATGACCCTGTCTGTCTGGAACAGAGCACACAAGGGCTGGGCTTGCTTCCAGAGCAGGGACACAAGTAATACATATACCATCACAGTAATAGAAGATGGGTCCTAATAGGAAGAGCTCAACTAAACAGCAAAGGATCTTTTCCTAGTAAGAAAACAACTGTATTTGCTGTAGCAGAGAAAGAACCAGCATAAGGACATGGATGTTCAGGACAAGGAAATAAAACAAGAGCAGACAGAAGTGTCCATAACAGGATAGCTTAGGAGAAGACTGGTCCACATGAGGTGAGCTGGGATGAGGCTACTCCTATTGCTGTGCTGGGTAAGCCCTGAGTGGGAGTTTTGATATTTTGGACCCGTAGGAAAGGCTGCTTTTTGGATAAGAATGGAGGTGGATAGAGAGCTATTCACTAGGGTTTCAAATACAGGAAGGGAGGGGAAGGCATTGCAAGTGCGGTTTTGAGGGAGTTGGAATAATCAGTGGCAAAGACAACAAGGCAAATACCCCATTAGAAGTGAACAACAAATAATGTATGCAGCTGACATTACAATATTGAACGAGGTCCATGCTCCATTCACTGATTCTTCTGACCTTCCCGTTCCTAAAATTATTCCTGACTTTTAAAATCAGAGCTTCAAAGTGCCTGAGATCAACAGTCTTTCCATTTCATGTTATGGAAATAGACATTAAAAAATCACTTGGCATTCACATCTGCAATGTTAAAAGAGGTAACACCAGCTTGAACAGCAAAGCTTCTCTCAAGCAATGTTGACTTCTTTTGCGATGCAGGAATCAGAACTTTAATTTATCTTCCTGCACCAAGAGCTCCTGTCAGTATTTTGGCACAAAGAAATGACTTCATTCCTGAAATGGAGCCATTTCACTTTCTTATCTTCAAAAAATATTAATAAGAACAAAGCAAGCTGGCAACAGTCATCATCTTTTCACAACAAGTTATGAGGTAGATGTAGAATATTATGAAAACACTGGCTTGTCACATTGCTTTGACATGCCAGGCATATTTAAATCCTACCAACTAAAGCCTAATCTCCTGGCAAACAGTTTCTGCTTAGTCAATATTACTACTTCTATCTATTTTGATATTCTTAAAGTATTTATTATTTCTGCCCCAGTAGCATAGAGAAGAATAATGGATACAGTTTTATCAATGCAGGCATTTCAAAGCCATTAAAAAAGTTTTTGTCTATTGATCTGCAGCTTGGTATCTGAGTAGTGTCCCCAATTCTCATGTCTTCCCACTAATGTAGTACCAGAATGAAATGAAAATACAGCCTTCGTGTTAGAATAAACAAGGTATTCAAAGCAAATTGTGCATAATACATGAATAGGAAATGAGCACTGTTGTTCTCCTTGACTGGTTGCCAAGCCAGATGCAGTAGAGACGTAGCTAACTGATTGAGGCTCCTTTCAACACTGCCAGAATGGAGTGGTTCAACCCACTCAGCAAATGTAGAGATAAGAATCGTACTGATCCCTCACTACACCATAATTGAACTTGGTGCTCGAGGCTGCAGGGATCTGTAGGAATGTGAGTAACCCCTTCAACTTCAGTATGCTTAAAAATGTTGCTGAAGCCTGGATTCAGAATATTTCATGTCGAATATATGCCCATACAATGCCTGTGTCAGTACTACATTTATGTCTAACTCTCAGCTCATGCATAAATCTCTGAAATTATCTGAATATTAAGCACTAGGAAATCACTTAAGAGTTAACAGCTGAGTTGAACAATATTACTAATCACTCAGCATCAGCTAATTTAACAAAGAGGAATATTGCCATATTTGCCTTGTGTGCAGTTTGCTTTTGGGCATTTTCCTTTATTGTAAAAATGTTTTTCTTAAAAACAAGCTTATCTGTGAAGACTGAAACTAAAATTCAGTTTCCTACAGATTTCGATCTCCAAGGCAATTTAGTTTCTCAGAAACTGGAAGCTCTGAAAATTACCCTGTGAGGAGGGTATTTCTAAACATCTTTTCCCAAATAGATTTCTTTTGAGTTTAGCACAAGTTATGCTCATGGCATAGCTATCTCTCTTGGCAGGAAATTTCTCACATCTTCCCCTACCTGATGTCATTTCACATAACTTGAGAGTCTTGGTGTCTTTAAGATCTTTGCCTTTTGGAGATCAAAGAGTGGGGTCTGACGGGTAAGCTCTCAGATGCAGTATTACACTGGAAAGCTTCAAGCAAAATACAGTTGTTTTCAGAAAAGATGGTTTTCCCACATATTTATATCCATTTAGATCACTTTATCTATATGATCTACCAAATAAATACCTTCTTAACTCTACTTTTCAAGAGTAAAAGCAGCAGACACGAGCCATACTCAAATACTATTTGAGTATCATTGGACAAGGAATGTAATTCATTGGTTAAACAGTCCATTCAAACTGTTATTATTTGACCAATTCAAAAACCAATCAAGAAATATATTTTATCTCTGCTAAAAAGTATTTTACTTCTCATTATTCTTCATCCAACTTCAACTGCTGCTGACAAAGGAATGTATTTAAGTTCCTTTAAATGACCAAACATGCATAGCTTATTGAGGTTTTTTTCACCAACAGTAATATCTGGAAAGTTGGAGGTGGAAATGTTATGGCCATTAGCTCCATGACTTTCCCCTCTTTCAACACAGAAATCAGTACCTTAAGAACGCTGTTAGATTGTGTGCATTGTTAGGGGTAGAAATACATGTAGGCACTTTACTGCATGCTGAATTTAAGCCATAGGCTGACAGACTTAGCTGGAAATGTACGTTCACTTGGGTATTGCTGTGGCTGTAATGAAGAGAACAAAAAAAGATGGTAGCTTACATATAAATAGAAAAAAACCAAAAGATGACTTATAAAAGTATTTATCTACAGTCTATATGGTGATATAAATACCAAACCTTAAGGGATGATTTGAGAATGACATTAAAAAGACAAGGAGGTATTTTTAAAAGGATATTTTTATATCGCTACCGTATTCTTCAGTTGCTACAGACAGCTGGATGATAGGAAGCTTTGGGCTTTAAGCAATTTTACACTCATTTTGCTTAGTGTTTAGTAAAAAGCCAATATGCTTTCCACAAGAGGGTTATGTGAGCAAATAGGTGGAATTGGGCCCTGCTAAAGCAAAGATGTTTAATTTCTGTGCTGCTTCTGCCCAGAGAGAGCACGGTTGTAGGACTAAAACCAGCTGTGCTCTGCCACTGACTTCTGGGATGGCTTTGGCTAATATGACTGAAGGCAGAGTCTGCCAACTAATCTACTAATTAAACGGTACTGAATAGGTGCATCAAAATCTACTACTAGAACAGCTAAACATGAACAAACACATTAGAAGTTGTCCTTCCTTTCTTCTTCTTCTTCTCCTCCTCTTGTTTTTTCCTTACACCAAAACCATTATGACACTGACAGCTTTAATGGACTGTGCCTGTCCTTCAGTGTTTTTCTTCCTTGCC